GGACACAAAGCAGATATCAAGTAATAAAATTTTACTTGACAGCTGTTCAGAAGCTATCAAGAAAATTTATGTCCCAGGATGAAGAAGTAATTTTTGAAGCAGAAACATGACAAGTAAATGAAATGCAGGCAGGTTGTGTAAAGCTCTAAGGCCAATGTGTCTCCAGTGTCAATACAGATGAGCTTAAAGAATGACAGCATGAGCAGATCGTTTCTAACTTGCACCTTAAAGGTAGGGGTTTGGGGCCTGCTCATGTCGAGGTTAGTGGCTAGTAAAATTAACATGAAAAGTATTTTGAATAGTCCTTCTGCTCACATTGAATAAGAATATTGGTCCATAAAAAAGAGCCTTGCCTATCTTGTCCACCATCCCATTCCCTATGGTGGCCAACCATTCAGTCATTCATTGATTTCATTTATATACAGTGGTACCTCGGATTAAGTAATTAATTCGTTCCGGAGGTCCGTTCTTAACCTGAAACTGTTCTTAACCTGAAGCACCACTTTAGCTAATGGGGCCTCCTGCTGCTGCTGCACCGCCGGAGCACGATTTCTGTTCTTATCCTGAAGCAAAGTTCTTAACCTGAAGCACTATTTCTGGGTTAGCGGAGTCTGTAACCTGAAGCGTCTGTAACCTGAAGCGTATGTAACCCGAGGTACCACCTTTATCCTCCCAGGATCTCAAGATGGTGTACATGTTTTTCCTCCTCCCCATTTCATCCTCACAACAACCCTGTGAGATAGGTTAGGCTAAGAGATGGTGACTGGCCCAAGGTTACCCAGTGAGCACATGGATGAGTGGCAATTTGAGCCCTGCTGTCCCAGGTCCTAGTCCAGCACTCGAATCATTGCACCACATTGGCTCTCAGATGCCTCTAGGAAGCCCACAATCAGGATATGAGGGCAGTAGTCCTTTCCCACGGTTGTCCCCCAGCAACTAGTACTCAGAGGCACACTGCCTTTAATGGTGGAGGTAGCTCATAGCCATCATGACTAGGTACCATTTGCATAGTCCTTGAATATATCTGTTGTTGTTTTGTCATTTAGTCGTGTCCGACTCTTTGTGACCCCATGGACCAGAGCACACCAGGCACTCCTGTCTTCCACTGCCTCCCGCAGTTTGGTCAAACTCATGCTGGTAGCTTCGAGAACACTGTCCAACCTTCTCGTCCTCTGCCGTCCCCTTCTCCTTGTGCCCTCCATCTTTCCCAACATCAGGGTCTTTTCCAGGTAGTCTTCTCTTCTCATGAGGTGGCCAAAGTATTGGAGCCTCAGGTTCACGATCTGTCCTTCCAGTGAGCACTCAGGGCTGATTTCCTTAAGAATGGATAGGTTTGATCTTCTTGTAGTCCATGGGACTCTCAAGAGTCTCCTCCAGCACCATAATTCAAAAACAACAATTCTTTGGCAATCAGCCTTCTTTGTGGTCCAGCTCTCACTTCCATACATCACTATTGGGAAAACCATAGCTTTAATGAATATATCTACCACCACCCTTTTAAAGATGTCTAGCCAATGGGGATCACTGCAACTTGTGATGGCTCCCATAGGCTAGTGACACACCAAATGCTTTCTTTTGTCCATCCTGAATGTCCCACCATTATGAAAGATGGAAGAAAAACCACTCCTCTCTATTCCTTTTCTGCAAATACCTAATTCTATAAACTTCTATCGAAAGCGCATACCGGATTCCCAGAGTTTGGTGACCTCCACTGCAAAGTAATCAGTAAAAAGAGCAGTCATCTCTCCCCCCCCCCCCGTTGCCCTAAACTAAAAAGCCCTAAAGTGTTGTAACAAAAAACAAAAACAACCCAGAAAAACCCCCACTTACATGTGAGTGAAATCCATCCTCCAAAGACAAAATGGCAAGGCTATTCAGCTGACATTTGCTACAGATAAACTGTGGAGAAGAAAATGCCATTACTAGGTGCTTTGAACTGAAGGGCAAAGAAACAAGCCTCTCTTATCAGCTTGACATGATTGCCTCTCAGGGGTGCCATTTCACCAAAGCAAAGAGCTGTTGGGGTGATGATGATGGAGGGGCAAAAGTCACAGGAACCTCCGAAGGCCAGCTCTTGGTTATGTCCATTTTAATTGTTAAAAAAAAGAGAGCTTTGAATTATGAGTCTTTGTTGTGGTTGCTTCGTTTCACCAACAGGAACAGAGGTGCTTCTCCTGAGAAAGCATGGCATAGCACCTGAAGCATAATGGGTTAATTATTACACCATCACTAGCCGTGACCACAGCCAGGTCAATACTACTATGGCTACAATAAAAAAGGCTACAGTGGAAAACTCTCCAGGGATACACTGAGACCAGAACTTCTCACACTTGCTACAGAATTTGTAGAAATGATGGCCAAAGTCTCCCTGAGATATTTGGCTAGTCTTAGATTGCAGCTTCCATCGAAACAGTATGGGGAACCAGTGGCCCTAATGATGTTTCTGAACCACAACTCCCATTAACTCTGGCCATTGGCCATGGTTGTTCAGCCTGATGGGAGTTGTAGTTCAGCAACACCTGGAGAACCATAGGTCCCCTCACCCCAGCATTAAAATATCTCCGAGGTTTTTGCCTGAGAGGTCCTCAAGTACATTTGTGTGTGTATCTACGGCTGCTTTATTTCAAACAGAGAAGTTTGTTGAACAAAAAAAATTGCCGACAAAAACAGCACTGCCAACATGGACTGCTGCATACATCCAGATTTTCCCGGACATTTAATGATTTCCGCCCAGACACTTCTGCTGAATGAAGTGTTCCAGATATGTCCAGGCAATCCTACATCTGTCTGTGTTTGCAGGAGGAGGGGAATCAAGATTTAATAATCTGGGGCTAAAAGGAAAAGAGGCAGGCAGGAGGTGACTTTGTTGGTGAGAGGCAGAAAGAGCATCAGCTAAAGCAATGTCCACACCCGGAATAAAGATCGTAACAATAGCAGCTTCTTTATGATGCAATCCTATACCAGTCTACTTCAAAGTCAGACCTACTGAGCTCAATGGGACTTCTATGTGTCAGATTTTAGCCATAGTCTTCTAATCTTTATTTTTTCCCCCAACCTGTTTTCCTAACTCTCATCTCCAGCAACTGCAAATTAAATAAATGCCTGTATTTATCGTCCTCCAGCAACAGCAATAAGGCTGGTTACGTGGATTATTGATTTCATTTTCATTAAACGGAAATGCAACATACACACCAAAGCATTGGTGTAGCTGTGTGATCTAGATTCAAACCAATCTTCAAATATGAATGCCATGTTCAAAAGGGCTGCGTATTGTATGTTTCCATGCACAAAAAGGGACCATAGCAGCAGAGTGCATGACTTGCATGCAGTATGCCCCAGAAACTGCAATCTCTGGCATCTTTGGTTAAGTGGGGGAAAACGGCTATTTGATATCCTTGAGAGCTCCTACTGGTTAATGTGCAAACCATACTCAGCTGTCGGACCCTCCAGGTGTTCCTATTTTCCAGGGATGTCCCTGATTTAGAGAAGCCGTCCTGGTTTCCGATTTGACCCTGGAATATCCCACTTTTCCTTAGGACGTTCCTATTTTCATTGGAGAAATGTTGGGTGGGGTGGAGTTATTCAATCCCTGAGCCACCAGAAGGCAATCCTGTATAGGGAAGGTTTTTTCCCCCATAATGTTTGATGTTTCATTATGTTTTTATACAGTGGCACTTCGGGTTAAGAACTTAATTTGTTCTGGAGGTCCGTTCTTAACCTGAAACTGTTCTTAACCTGAGGTACCACTTTAGCTAATGGGGCCTCCCGCTGCCGCCACACAATTTCTGTTCTGATCCTGAAGCAAAGTTCTTAACCCGAGGTACTATTTCTGGGTTAGCAGAGTCTGTAACCTGAAGCGTCTGTAACCTGAAGCGTATGCAACCCGAGGTACCACTGTATATGTTGGAAGCTGCCCAGAGTGGATGGGGCAACCCAGTAAGATGTATGGGGTATAAATAGTAAAATTATCATTATGGAATGGGACGTCCCTATTTGCATTCGAGAAATGTCGGAGGGTATGAGCTGGATGGAACAATGTAAAGTATATTGGGCTTGATCAAGGTTTCCCAAACTTGGGTCTCCAGCTGTGTTTGGACTACAACACCCATCTTCCCTAGCTAGCAGTATCAGTGGTCAGGGATGATGAGAACTGTAGTCCAAAAACAGCTGGAGACCCAAGTTTGGGAAACCCTGAGCTAAATGGATCAGTAGCCTGAGTTTCCTGCAAGGCCTTGTGGATGCTTCTTTTCCAGCATATCTCATCCAACACTCACAAAGGGAGATGTTTCATACCTTACTATCTCTGGTAAAGGAACACTGCTGTGTTTGTTCTGGATGACGGCCTCAAGGTCATCATAATAATGATAGCATTAAGGCCATAGGCCTATTTTTAAAATTCATTTCCGAGGATACTGATTCGCAGTAGTTTAAAATTGCATCAACAATTATCTACTTAGCAACACATTTAGTTCTCTGTCGTGGATTTAGGAGCGCTTTTTTTTGCTTTTGAAAAATACATTTTATTTCCTTTTGTGACTAAAACAAAACAATGTATGAAACAAAACAAACCTAAGCATATTTTTGACTATTTTAATAACTGTTTTATTTTGTGTGTGTTTTCTTTTATCTTATATGCTGCTTTGAGACCCAGTTATGGGTTGTTTAAGTGGATACCTAAGTGGATACCATAGATAGTGAACAAACAGCCACTCCTGAATCACAGGCACCCTAGGCCAAAAGTGTTTTCCCTTGGTGACTCCGCCATGTTGAAAAGTGTGTTCTGTCCTTTCCAGAAATGCACTGTGCTGGATGAAGCCAGCTCTAGATCTGTTCTAAATAAATTGAATAAAACCACTTAACCCACTGTAAGATATATTTGAAAAATGAATATTAATAGGAACAAAGCCCATTGTTAAGCAAGGTAGCTAAAGTAATGATGTCATGTCCTCCATTGTGACACGTCCCCCTGCTGAGTGACTGGGCTGAGAACTTTGGGAAGAGCAACTATCTGAGGATAGTTCAAAGAAAAGAGGTTGTTTGTGTGAATTGTGTTTTCTGAAAAATGAAAATGTCTTCATCTCGCGTGTAAGTAGGATCTCTTCTTCTTTCCTCAGTCTGCTTCTTTTGCTATCCCTTAAGTTTTAGAAATATGGGGAACCATGTCATGGTTAGATTAATTTTTAAAGATAGTCTTAATGGCCACCTTAGATGCTTTGAGGGAAATGGCTTGCCTTCTCCCTTGTGGGCATCATCGCAAGAAGGGCATCTCCCAGTTTTGGAGGGTCCTTTGAGAAGATGCCCTCCTCTGAGGGTTCAACTGCTTGCTGCACTCTCCATGAGAGGTTTCTGAACGCAAGTTCAGCTGCCAGCTGCCCCAAATTCAGCACAGAGATAAGAGTATCAAGGAAGTAAGCAGAAACCTTTTCGCGACTATGTATTTCCCCCCTTCTTCCTAGGTTTCATGGTCTTCTCAGGCTGCGTGAGCAGTGGCGATGCTGCACGCTCCGGCACTGGGGGCAGAGAGCATGGCTGGACCGCATCCCGGGAGCGTGACGCGCCGCCGGCAGGGGTGTGGCACATGTCCCAGGGGACTGGCATGCTGCCCGCAGGGGTGTGATGTGCATCCCCGGGGGCATGGAGCGCTGCCCAGGTGTGTGTGGCGTGCGTCCCGGGGGCGTGGCACCCAGGGCAGTGGGGAGGTGCATGGCACGTGTCTGGGGGGCGGCCGCGATGGTACTCCCTCCCCGATGGTGCCGAGGCGGTGAGCTCCCCTGCCCCCTTCCTCTGCCTTATACCCTACCCATCTGGCTGAGTTTATTTATTTATTTATATTTAGTTGTATGTGCGCATGCAGACAATCATTATTATCCCATATTAAATTGCCGCGTTGGCACTTTGCGATAAATAAGTGGGTTTTGGGTTGCAGTTTGGGCACTTGGCCTCTAAAAGGTTCGCCACCACTGCTCTAGAACAACATCTGAAGCACCCCAAAAAGGGAAATGGGCAAGTCCTTTGTGTCTGCATGGACGTGATTCTAGCTGCAGCAACATATCTTTCAATCAAGAATAATTTTAAAAATTCAGGGTGTGCGTTTGAGTGTGTGCATCAGTTGGAGCAGTTCTAAACCTTTAAAAATCCCACTGGAGTGCCACTCCCACTTCCCTTCTATAGCAGTTGTGAACAAAAGTGACTTTTTGCTTTCTTTGCCATGCATTGTTTTTTTTTAAAGACAATTTATAGAGTGATGAGAAGCTCACCTCAGTGGAAGTGAATGTGAAGTGGTCACAAAAGACCAGATCTAATCTCATTTATACCGGCACAAATTCCAAGTCATTTAGTAAACTGTTATAGAGTTGGATGACATATTTGAGATTAGAATCTATTCCTCAGTTGACACCGTAGAAGGGAAAAATAAATGAACCTGTAAGGGATGTGTATAATATTTCGACTCTGGTGCTTTGACTTGGAATGACCTCAAATGAGTGTCTGTGTGTGTGTGTGTGTGTGTGTGATCCTTTCAAACTTATTTATTCTCAAAACAGAAGTCCTTTAAAAATGGAGCTTGCCATGTGAAGTTTCCATGACCATGGGTGACTTATGAGATAAATTGCATGGTGGTTCTTATCTCAGGAACATTTTTATTCCACTGTGATTCCTAGGAGACTTTTCAGTCTGTAAAGTGAGGTTCAAATACTACTCTATATCACTGACAGAAAGGGGATTACATACCAGGAAGACAAATAGCATTTTAATTTTTAGCAAGTTGAAATTGAAGCTGTCAATTTGCTGCCTTGAAAAATTTACAGACAACTTTTTAGGAACCTGTATTGGTTCCCCCAAAGCTTCTTTTAAAATAGAAGTGAGATCCCATTATTATTCCTGGTGACAGTTAATTAAAATATTCAAGGGAAGGTATGATGGCCTTTAATATCACAAACCTTCCAGTACTGATAAATGGTTTGGTTTGAAATCTTCACTTAGTCCATGTAACTATAATTTCGTGTCATGCCAAAAAAAATGGATGGGATATGGCGCAAAATCAATGAAATCATTTGTATTTCATTATTTTGACCTCTCATAACTGCTAACTACTGAAAGAGTGTTTCATGACCAGATATATAAAAAATTCAGAATAGATTAGTTTTACAGGTAATGGCTGGCTACTCTTTCATTACATAGATTTCTAGTATTAGTCCAGGGTGGTGCTTGATGTTTCATCCATCAGAGCTGATGATAATATGTTTTCATAGCTATCTCTTCAGTGTTTATAGATATATCCACCAATGCGTGGACAAAATTGGTCCCCTTCTAGCTCTCTGTTTGAGGGGGGAGAGGGAGGACAAGGAAAGAAAGTTTACAGTATTGAACTGGCAAAACAAGAGAGTTGATTGAACCCACCTTTCTCCGCATACTCCAAGGTCTCAAAAACATGCCTAAGGTCAAGCACTGGGCTCCTAAGGACTTATTTGATTTTTCCCCCTGAAAAACTGGGGAAGGAGTCTTGAGGCCCTTTGGGGACAAATAAAAGGGAAATCACTCATCCCTATCTTAAAACAGATTACGTGTTACACGGCTCGTATGAAAAGACCATGGTTATATTTATTGTTTGTAATAGTTGCTAAAAACAATCAAAATTGCAAGAAAGAAAGGGAGAAAGAGAGAAAGAAATTACCATTCTTCTGAGCAGATACAGTTATAGTGGGCTATGCAGGACCAGCCTTGCGATTAGGTGGTGTGAAGCGGCTGCCTCAGGCTGCTGGTTTGGGGTGCCATGAAAGGGGAGCAAATTTATTTGCTTAATTTATTACTCTTGTATTCTACTATCAGGGATGGGGAAATGTGTCTGTGGGATATCCTGCCTCAGGTACCAGCATAACTCATCTGCTCTTGGTCACTATGCACCTTCAGTTACAGATAATTTTATACTTGTTGCTGAGGTGTGTAGCGATTTGCTGCTCCACCTCAAGCGACAAAATGTGTTGGAGTGGCCCTGGGGTCCTGTCCTTATGCTTCTTTTATTATAATGTAACATTACACTTATCCCTTCCCATTACTGGCTAATTCAGGCATTTTGCAGTGCGGTACAGTTCATTTTCTCACACCTGCTAAGCCACACCACTCCTAAAACCTGAGTGTTTGTTAAAGTGGGAAGCACTAGAATGTTAATGGCACAGCCGTATTCTCAAATGATTCCTAGATCACTTCATTTTAATTCAATGTGGGGCTTCTGATTCACTTGTAAACAGAAGAAAAGATTAAAAGCAATTTTAAAGGCATGATAAAGCTTTAAAAATACTGATTCACTTTATGATCTCATAAACTCAGGGTACTGATGGAATTAACGTATTTTGCCTCAAGTGTACAGAGATAATCTACATTTATTTCGTTTTCTTAAGAGCATTTATTGACATTCCTAGTAATGTTTCTTTAGCACCAGCCCCAAAGCATTCATAAAGAGATTTTTATTTTATTTTATTTTAGCTGAGAAGGAAGCTAGTGATTTCCAATACTCCTTGTGATAGGCCTCACAAATGAAATATTTTGAATGAGGTACCCTTTGTATCTAATTTAAAGAGCTGCATACACCTATCAGATATTTTCTAATTAATTTTATTTTTCAGAAGACAAATCTTTCTATTAAATGAAATAATTGCTCAGTGGCATTACCTGAAATACAGGCATTTAGGCAAAACTTATTCCTGCTCAATAGAAAGTTAGGTAAAATCAATGGGCTTATGTGGTCTAACCTTCTGTTGGATTTTGGACATTGTAATTACTTCACTAGGTGTCTACAATTTTCAAGTGTCATCAGATGTTGAGAAATGGCCTTTCGACCAAGCATTAGTCACAGGGTCAGGAGGGTTATCAGTTACATAGGTCCATACTTCTCTAGAGGTCAAAAGCACCTCCACCCGAAAAGACCATAAGCTATAGTTCTCATCTGTCAGCTGTGGGAAGACCAGAGCCTTCTCAGCTTCTGGAACCCGGTCAACCGTTCTGGAACTCTTCCAGACCCACAAAACTACACCAACAGGAGAAGGAGTTTTCAAACCTTTCTCAGAGTCCAAAAATATGCAGTCATCCACTCAGCAGCTGGGCCCATAACCAAAGATGTTGGCTATTTGCAGTATGGTAGCACTGCAGAGAGCTTGCTGGGGAGACCATGCATTAAAAAGGGACTCAAGAATAACTTAAACAAGGTTTTAATAAGAAAAACAAAAACTCCATTTACACTAAGTACATCAACAAACCAGACCCAACCACCAACCCATCCCCCAGGGTAATGGGAGAGCTAGGTGCTGCTCCTTATATACTACACCCAATTACCAACACAGCTTAATCAATACAACTCAGCAGCACCTGCTATGTTTCACAGCTGTAAAGCTGGGTCTCGTTATCTTGCTCTGGCCCTTGCTCTGGCCCCTTAAAGACATACACATCGAGTGGAACAATGATGAACCTTTACATTTAAAGAAGCCATTCAACAAGTAGATGAAGTTTGCTTTACATGCATTATTTGTGAGCCTCCTAAAAATCCCTAGTGCTGCTTCGACTATCCATTGAACCCAAGTAGTGGTTTGGGTCAACAACAGGAGAGATAATGGAGCATCATGTGGTTTGACAGGTGTAGCCTACAGTCCTTTGCAACAAATGAATGCTGATGAATGGCAACTTAGCAGATGGGACAATACAGACAATTATCTTACAAAATGGTGTTGGAAAGTTATTACTCCCTAGTTCTAATTTGATTTCTAATCTGACACAGGTGTGGCAATTTTTCCCTATTGCCACTCGTTTGGGTGTGGTAGATGAGCAGTTTATCTAACTTTTTTTACACACACAGTGGTAAGCTGCCATTTGATAAACAGATGTCTATATTTGTACAGTGTCTCAGTGTCACAAGACAAGGCTATTTGATGTAGCAAAGTACATTGAGCCAATGTATTAGTATTTGTACAATACATTAGCAAGAAAGATATAATAAAATTAGCTTTTGCATTTCTTACTTTTTTGTTACTTATTTAAAAAGTAACATAAGGAAACATTCTGAAAACCAAGTAGCCATACTTATTCTTCAATTTAATAAGCCATATAGCTTTCTTACTTTCATGAATTTCTGTGCCTATAGCATATCTTAAATTTTAATGATGATAAATCTTTTAGTGTCTGTCTGTGACATCCCTTTTCTCTCAACCAACACCCATTGATCTGGTGGCTTTTATTGGCCATTTCCTATTAAAAGTCACAGCCTCCTGTTGCTATGATTATTATATATTGAACCATCCTCACAGTGGAAGCACATTCTTAAGATCTGCCTGCTGTACAAAGAGATTGGCAATAAGGAACATCTCACGCTCCAAGTGAAAGACAAACATTCAAATGGATTTAGCAGAGGTCACTTTAATAACTTATTAACAAGGCTGATTTTATAATATTTGACTTTGCTTCAGACTGCAGCAGACACTTCACAGCTGGTGTCCACTATCCAGCAGTTGCCCAGAACTTTTTATAACCAGAAAAAAGATGCATTTTTAAAAGAAAAATTATAGAAAACTCCCAACATTGCTGCAGGTCAGGAAGAACTTGAAGAGGTAGCTGCATGCATTGCTCCATCAAACTGAGGAGACCTGCCCCACACCAGGACTTTGAAACACCTGGCTCTAAACAGTGAAATTCTTCTCCTTTCTAAATTCATTTTTATTAAAGATTTCATTGTGCTACAAAACAAATAAACAAATGGGGGAAGTGCATCTTTTGTCTGCACTTTCAATTCATAGAGTCTTTTCACAGTTCGCTTACATGTAGCGAGAGATACATTTACCTGACAAGACCCACTGAAAACAGTGCAACATCTTTTTAAAGTAAACATGCATCGGATTACGCTGCCAGTGTGGTGTAGTGGTTAAGAGCAGTGGACTCGTAATCTGGTGAACCGGGTTCGCTTCCCCGCTCCTCCCCATGCAGCTGCTGGGTGACCTTGGGCTAGTTACACTTCTCTGAAGTCTCTCAGCCCCACTCACCTCACAGTTTGTTATAGGGGAGGAAGGGAAAAGAGATTGTTAGCTGCTTTGAGACTCCTTAGGGTAGTGATAAAGTGGGATATCAAATCCAAACTCCTTCTCCTCCTCCTCCTCCTCCTCCTCCTCTTCTTCTTCTTTGGAATATGTCAACTCCACCTTGAGTTTGTAAGCATTTTTAGATGTGTTATAAAATTTACCTTAAGATAACAGTAAATATAACTGGAGATTTATGAAGTTATTATTAACAAGGCAGGAGGAGAAAGATACATGACAGATTGAAAGAAAGGCAACTAGATATGTAGAAAATACCTGAACTATAATTCAGGAAATGTACTGAATGCATTTTCTGACAGTGAGTTATTATGTGCCTTCAGGAGCTGAAAGCACTCAACACCTGTAAAAATAATGCTTTGTGTTAGATTTCTAGATGCAATTGAGGATGTCTAAATATAGATGCTCAAAGATGTGTTCATGGTGCTATAGCTCCTTATGAATACCGTACTTGCACTGGTGCCACCCTTAAACCTCTTTTGAAGCACCACTTACTGTATGTTTATGTTCTACTCCACAGTGAAAAGCAGTATGCTCCTGAATCGGGGCTGCCATAAAGTCCAGGAAATCGGGCTGTCAAAATGGTGTCCAGTAAAACCCAGACATGGCAAATAGGGCACTTTTATCAAGAAAAATGCTGTAAAAATGCTGTAAAAATCAAAGAAAAGCCCAAAGACTTGGTATTTTTGGGAGATGTTCCCAAAACAGGTAGGGAAAGTGGTCTTGCACCCAGGTTCTGCTTGCAAGTTTCCAGCAGACATCTGGTTGCCCAATGTGTACATACACTGTTCAGAAAGATGGAAGTATATTGGCCTGGGTTGAAGTAACCTGGCAAGTTACATGTCTTCTAAAAGTCAGATAGTTGTTTATTTGCTTGACATCTGATGGGAGGGTGTTCCACAGGAGGACGGGAGCCACTACCGAGAAGGCCCTTTGCCTGGTTCCCTGTAACCTCACTTCTTGCAGTGAGGGAACCGCCAGAAGGCCCTCGGAACTGGACCTCAGTGTCTGGGCTGAACGATGAGGGTGGAGACACTCCTTCAGGGGGAGTTGATAAAGTCATTTTCATGGATTCCATATATGAAAACCGAAGTGTTACATTAGATACCATAAATCTGCTTTGAGGACTTTTTATATATATAAAATAAAATCAGAACTTGAACCAAGAGGTCTAATTTCAGTTTCAATGTAATTTATCACATATAAAGCAATTCTGAAACACCCTGAAAGGAAGTAGAATGAAAATATTCATGGACACAGAAGTTTTAAATATGGTTTATCTGAAAAATCATTTCAGTTTAATGAGATTTCTCAAGCTCTAATTGGCAAGTACAATAACTCCCAGTGTAGCATGTTGAATAGAAACTTAACATTCCAGCAGGCTCTGGGTAAGCCCAGCTGAAACCTGCAACAGCATGAACAGGCATCCGAGTATACAAAGAAAAAGAATCCCAACTGACCATCGTAGGAGAAAATGGCATTTGCAAGTGTTTATAAAATCCACCAGGGGCTGAAAGGAGAATCTTGAGTTTACAAGGACCCTATTCTCTCTCTCTCTCTTCCTTCCCAAGTCAATTGAAGGTATTAGTATAGCAGGCACAGAGGATGCCAACAGTTTTGCAGCAACTTCCAAAAGAGCCTGGGGTCAGGCAGGGGATAATGAGGTGTTGTTTGTTACAGGAACTTCCCTGAAGGATGCTTTCACATTTTAATCCTCATTTTTCCAAGGCAGTTGCCATGAGTTCTGGAGACGCTTTTAAGCCACTGCATCAACTGTCAGACGACATTAAATGGTTTAGTTTAATGTCCCTCTTCCTTGCTCATTGAGAAGTAGGGGGGAGGACATTGATAAAGCAAGGAAGAAGAAGACACACACACCCAAATGAACCGGGGATCCAAACTCTGCAAGAAGGACTGGTCTGGAAAGGAGGTGAGCTGCCATTCAGTATTCTAGCAAGGTGGTGTGAGTGCCATCTTTCTGGTTGTTTCTATTTCCCCTCTAACCCATTACCCTTGCATAGTATCTCCAACCCATGACCTCTGCTTTACTTAGTAAGAATGTCTGGGATAACTGAAAAGTGCCAGCAGGAAGTGAAGCTGGGAGTGACAGGTTACACATGGATATAGTAGCAAGTACAGGTAAAGGAGGGACGCGGGTGGCACTGCAGTCTAATCCACAGAGCCTAGGACTTGCCGATCAGAAGGTTGGCGGTTCGAATCCCCGCAATGGGGTGAGCTCCCTGCTCCTGCCAACCTAGCTCAGATCCTGCTCCTGCCAACCTAGCAGTTCAAAAGCATGTCAAAGTGCAAGTAGATAAATAGGTACTGCTCTGGCGGGAAGGTAAACGGCGTTTCCATGTGCTGCTCGGGTTTCGCCAGAAGCGGCTTAGTCATGCTGGCCACATGACCTTGAAGCTGTACGCCGGCTCCCTCGGCCAATAAAGCGAGATGAGCACCACAACCCTAGACTGGACCTAATGGTCAGGGGTCACTTTACCTTTACCTAAAGGTAAAGGATGCGGGTGGCACTGTGGTCTAAACCACTGAGCCTCTTGGGCTTGCCAATCAGAAGGTCGGCGGTTCAAATCCCCACAGCAGGGTGAGCTCTCGCTGCTCTGTCCCAGCTTCTGCCAACCTAGCAGCTCAAAGGCATACCAGTGTGAGTGGATAAATAGATACTGCTGCAATGGAGGGGTAAATGGTGCTTCTGTGTGCTCTGTTTTCCGTCACAGTGTCCCATTGCGCCAAAAGTGACTTAGTCATGCCACATGACCCGGAAAGCTGTCTGTGGACAAAAGCCGGTTCCCTCAGCCTGAAAGCGAGATGAGCGCCATGTCCCATAGTCGCCTTTGACTGGACTTAACCGTCCAGAGGTCCTTTACCTTTTTTTACCTAGTAGCAACTGGAATGAGCACATATGAACATAAGTGATTTCTGCATATTGAGCCCATATGGAGTACACTGGCCCAACTGAGGGCCCAGCTGCATATTATTCACACATTTGGTTGGACTCCGGTGGCCCCTTAACCCCACGTTTTTGGAGATTATTTGTAGGAAAGAAGCAGTGGCCATGGGGAATGGGTTCAACTCTTTCCTGCCACCTGCTTCGCTGCTCTGAATCTTCACCTTCTAAGGTGTATTTTATTTTATTTACTACTTTGATATTCTGCCTTTCCTCCAAGGAGCTCAAGGTGGGACAAATGGTTCTCCCCTTCCCAATTTCATCATCAAAACAACCCTGTGAATATCTTAGGCTGAGAAACCAGTTAACTAGTTTTTGTATAATCTAGATGATTACTAAAGCATGAGTAAAGCAATGACTTAAATCATTTTCATGAACACTTGCTTTTCCAGCATCGAAAACTGATGGATTTCTTTCCCTTGAAACAGCAGATTCCACAAAATCTTAATACCAAACATTCAACAACAAAAAATTAACCATGATTAAAAATGCAGAGAAAAATAATTACCTTTGGCTTAGGTCTTAGTAGAAGGTAGAATGTGGTCAAACTAATGATTAGGGAGGATTTAACATTTTTGAACTGAAGTAAAGCACAGTCTGAGGGACGCTGGTCGCACTGTGGGTTAAACCACAGAGCCTAGGACTTGCCAATCAGAAGGTCGCGGTTCGAATCCCCGCAACAGGGTGAGCTCCCATTGCTTGGTCCCTGCTCCTGCCAACCTAGCAGTTCAAAAGCATGTCAAAGTGCAAGTAGATAAATAGGTACCGCTCCGGCAGGAAGGTAAACGGCGTTTCCATCCGCTGCTCTGGTTCACCAGAAGCGGCTTAGTCATGCTGGCCGCATGACCTGGAAGCTGTATGCTGGCTCCCTCGGCCAGTAAAGCGAGATGAGCGCCGCAACCCCAGAGTCGGCCACGACTGGACCTAATGGTCACGGGTCCCTTTACCTTTAACATTTTTGAATTGAAGTGAAGCACAGTCTGAAAGGATCTCAGACACGAAGTATATCAGCTATTTGCTCTTGATCTGACACCTATCATATCAATTAAAAGATTATTTCATTAAAATGGCCAAGAGGCTTTGCTGAAACCACAAATAAAGGTGTTTTTTTAAGATCTCCTCCCTCCAAAATTGGCGTATTTCTTTCTGCTTTCTTAGCGGATAACTTGTCTTTCAAGTCCTGTTCATGCTTTGTCAATACTGAAGGAGAGGCAGTGAAATCTTGGAAACATTTATCTACCTACTTTCTGGGCTGAGTTCCGTGTGCTGCTAAAGTCATGGAGCAATTTGGATTCTGAATGGAAATGAGTAAGCAAAGCAAAGAAATAAAAGGGTAGTGGGGGAGAGTGATGAAAGGAACATCGTGCCGCTCAAGGATCAGAAGAAAACAATTATGTCTTAATGCTTGGGCCCTAAATAATTAAACTAATGCTCCAGGCAATAACGCATTAGTCTATAGCAAGAGGGATAGCTTTCTCCATAGCTTAGAGACCATTAATAGCCAGAAGAATTCAAGGGGGGAAAGGAAGTTGAAGAGTATTGCATACTGTTGTTGTATAACTTGTGAAAATCAAGAAATAGGATAGGACCCCTTGGAGAAGATGGGGAAAAACATTTTCCCCGCCCCCTACTTTATCGCATAACTGTCAAACATGAATTCAATTTGTGAAAACTGCTCTATGTTACCCTATCAGTTGTTCAGCTTCTCATAGCTTTGTCTAAATCCTTACAGCTGCTAGGCTGTTTGAACTTGGATTTGGAATCCTGTATTTGAATCCTTTAAAAAGGCAAAGGTAAAGGACCCCGGACCGTTAAGTCCTGTTGCGAACGACTCTGGGGTTGCATCGCTCATCTCGCTTTACTGGCCGAGGGAGCCAGCATTTGTCCGCAGACAGTTTTTCCAGATCATGCGGCCAGCATGACTAAGCTGTTTCTGGTGAAACCAGAGCAGCGCACGGAAAATCCGTTTACCTTCCCACCGGAGTGGTACCTATTTATCTACTTACCCTTTGACATGTTTTTGAACCACTAGGTTGGCAGGAGCTGGGTCTGAGCAATGGGATTTCACCCCGTCGCATAGATTCAAACTGCCGACCTTCCGATCGGCAAGCCCTATGCTCAGTGGTTTAGACCACAGCGCCACCCTTTACTCAGCCACAAATTGAATCCTTTACTCAGCCACAAATTGGGCATTCAAAAGAAGTAATGAGAGTTGTGTAAAGGGGTGTGGGGCTAGGTATGTTAGCCCAGCCTCCAAAAGTATATATGCATGCCACAGCCCCATCTGCTCCACCTCAACCTTACGGAAATGAGGAGGAAAATATCATGGTAGCTATTGGAAATCCTGATTACACAGGATTCCTGAATGTAGTTTGGATTCTTCATGTTTTACACTTAGAATCTCCCACCCACCTACACTAACCTACATGGTTATAGGCATTATAATCAGTGGGTTTTTTTAGTGGGGGGGGGGGAATGGTGTTGGTACTCACCATGAATTTGTTACAGTACGTACCACACTCAACATTTGTAAAATTATTAATAATAATAGTAATAATAATAATAATAATAATAATAATAATAATGGTGCCAGTGCTGCATACCTTTGAGTGCCTCCAGAAAAAAGCACTGAATAATTAAATGATAATAAAACTTTAGAATGCCCTGGTCCTGCCCTTTAGCAGGGGTAGATTCGCCACACTCCTCTTTCTTGGGCAAAGGCCAGAGCTGGTTTCTTCCATGGGAAGGGGAACTTGGGGATCATATGGGCAGGAATGTTCAATAGGATGAAACAGTCAGGCTGCTATTTAAGTCTTCTCCACCCTCTCCACCTCATTCTCTTTTGCAGCACCCTCCCTCCTCCCTCTCTCTACAGCGTTGGCTTTTTGCTATTTGCCTTTTCTGGGGGCTAAGTAGGAATTTGAGGGGCAGCAATGAATTGACCCTTGGAACTATTCTTTTTTTGCCTGCTCCACACCATAGGGTTATTTGATTTGCTCTTGATGTATGTTCTTATTTGGTGTGTTTAGCATTGAGTGTGGGCACAAAAGGAAAATTAAGAACTTAATTGACAGGCACCCTGAGGCATTATGGGGTTTAAGAGTATGCTTGAGTCACCTTGGGGATGTGTGCACCTTGGTGAACTCTGATGTGTGCGTCTTGTTGGGTTCACAAACCCAAGGCTCATTTAGTAGGGAGTGAGAATTTTCTTCCAATACCTGCCAGGAGAGTGGAGGGATGCATCTGTCATATGTGTCAATTCAAACCCATCTGCCATTACATACATAATTTGGTTATTGTTTGACAAATCTATTGTTATATTTCAATAAATGTTATCTTTCCACGGTTACCCTGCCTCTTGAGTCTTTTCCCATGTTGTCTTGCCAAAGTGCAAGTTGGGATCCTGCCTTTTGGCCAAACTAAAGGATATGGAAGGACACGTTGAAGCTGAAAACTCTATTTTGTAAGTGTTGAACCAAATTTAATGAAACAATTAGAAAAGGGGACAGGAATTAAAAAGTTACTTGGCTGTTACTAATTACTAATCCTACATATATATATATATATATATATATATATATATATATACCAAGGTTTTCATTGTGGGTTTTGTTTTTTTTTCATTTTTATTCCAGTCCTTTGAAACGCTTTCAGCATCTCTAAAGAAGCATGTTATGAACATCCAAAAAAAGTGATGATGTAATTTTTTAATCAAATCACAGGATCCATAAGCAGATAGAATATGCCTTGAAGCATTAAAAAAAAAATTAAAAATAACCTGCTTGCCAGAAGCTAAAGTAAAGCACATCCATTTTCCATTGTACAGTCTGAATGGATAATTAGTTTTATAACTTGAGTCTCTTGTGAGTAGCTGTCCAGTGTGTGTTGGAAGCATTTAAAGATTCTTGCAATAACACATCTTTAACAAATATACAATCACTTTGCCTCCTGCAATTAATTTGTGAAGCAGCTTTGGAGAGGAACTTGTCTTATGAATTACAGGAAACTTTTGAATCCCATTTTTCTTCCCAGTGGCAAGACAATAAATCTATTCTATAACCCTGTTAATTTAGGAAGAAATACATTTCTTTAAACAAAGCATGCTGGCTCCTCTCAGTATGACAGTAGTCTAACTTGGAGGTTACCAGATCATTCATAATTGGGGCAAGACTATATTTGTCCTAGTAAAGACACAGCTGGCAAAAGATGGTAAAAGGCACACAGTGTTACAGAAGCAAGTTGTGCTTCTGATCACAAAGACTGATCAAGGAGACCTCCTAAAGCAACGTTGTCTAGCATTGGCTGAAAACCACTCCCTTGTGCTATTGAACTACCTGCCCAGCAAACCATCTTGTCGGGATTGATTATTTGTGCCTATTAGCTCTCATCTACTCCATTACCTTAGCCAGACACCCATTTGACACTTCCATTGCATCACCTGGATTTGATGAAAAGCTAGGCTTGCCATACATCAGGAAAACTCCTGACATGTCCTGGTTTGGGGGTGTAAAAATGGTGTCGGGGGGAATTTTGTCGAATTGGAAAAATGTCAGGGAAAACCCAGATGTTTGTCAATGCGATGGAAAAAGCAGTGGAAACAGCTCCAAAAGCTCCAAATCATTATCTTTGGGTTAGGTTTCCCAGAAAAAAGCTCAACAATGTGGGTTTGTTCCCTAAAAAGCTCAACAACTTTCTGACAAGCGGGTGTCAGGAATTTAACTTTTTGAAATATGGCAACCCTATGAAAAGAAGAGCTAGAACTAGTGGTGTCCTTCACACATTGATGAGACCTCGTCCTTATTCTCCAGATGCCCTCACTCAGCTGTTTCATGTCAATGTGAAGTACGGTAAAATGGGTGGAAGGAACAACCCCATCACGTAACTGGATAGCTCTTATTCTCACCCACCTTCACAAGGATATATTTGCAGTTGCTCCTGAAGAAAAGTTTCTACTCTGAACGTGTTCTGCAGAAATAAAGACCAGTTTATTTCAACAAATTATTTCTAGCATCTGTTGAACTTCTCTTTAATCTTCCTTTCTAAACTGGTTGGTATATCTGCCCACCTAGCTCTGTCCTCTTTCCTTTACTTTTTATTTGGTTTTGCTGTATTGTTTCATTGTTATTTTTAAACCAGAGACTAACTTTACTTAAGAATAATAATGAGACAGGTCTCCTGGTTTGGAGCCATCAGTTTCACTCCCTCGATGGGGCAGAGAAGCAAATCCAGTCCACAGTGTCATGTCTGCAAAGCCAAATAATACTCGACTCTTGTGGTGTTTCCATAGTAACTAGTGCCTTAGAATTCACACCAGTAAGGCAATAAAACCAAGCTAGGGTGCCTCATGTAGAAAACATATGGATTTTGTTTTTATTGTTAACATTAAAAACTCTCTAAAATATTTAAAGCCGTATGAAGTTTTACATCTGTATCTTTAGAAAAGTGTGTCAGCAAAGCCACTGTATTATCTCCATGGAGCAAATGTGGGCAAAAGAAAAAGAAAATGGAAATATTGACTAACATTTACGGGAAACAACTGTCTAATGGAGGCATAATAGAAAGTGGGGGAGGGTTCCCAGAACTGGAGTGAAATACTTACCATCCTTCCCCAGAGTAGGCAGAGCATAGGAGCCAAGTCCTAGGGTTCAAGGGGTCTTCAGCCTTCCCAGTAAAATATTTGAGGGGGCTAGGTCCTCCCAAAGTTGATGGGCATTGCCATTCAAATGGTGTGTGCACACCATGTCATGTGATTGATTTGTGCAAGGCAGGGCTAACCTGGGCCCCCCAATATTCTATTCAAGTTGGCACCCCAGACACAGAGGGAGGGGATCAAATTCTGGGAGCTCCTTACAGTTGTAGAGAATCGTGACTTTCCCTTAACGGAAAGCTCTTTGCTTCCACAAGTTGGTGAACCCATTATTTCCCCCTACTGGAGCCCTGCATGTCATATTGATCGATTCCATGCTCTCATCCTTCTAGATACTGAATTCTGCACAAGCTGGCGTTTCTGAATACTTCCAGGAAGGCTTTTTTTAAATCAGTGGTCCATTGGTATGTGGGGGGATTATAAAGAAGCATGTTCATGATTATTACTATTTTTATTCGTGATGAATACATTTGTTCATGATGATTACTGTTATTTTATTGCCCATTCTTCTTCATGCAAAAAGATTGCTCGCCGTAACTTGACCATGTCTCCAGCAGACCCATCTTACTCATATTAAGATTCTCCGGCGACTCCCATTGGGAGCAATTAAGTTATTTCTCCCTGAAAGTTTACATCCTCTGCAACTGGGTTCAGTGGAGTGGGGCTAAGCTTCTAAACACTCTTGAACATTCTGTTGTGGCTTGCTATATATTAGTCTGGTGATTTGCTACACGGGAACAGCAGCATTTTTGCCGTGTTGATCCTGGTTGGCAGGCCCATATTCCCATGTCATTGTTGTCGCGTTGACTATATGACTATCTATTAAACTGGGCCTAGAAGGCAGTATATTAGTATTCTGGTAGCTTAAGCCATCCAGGTGATGAATAGCAAAATACTAATCCTGTAGCTCTGAAAAGGCTTTTGCAGCTGACCCTCAGGACTGCAAGATTTAAAGCACAGCGTGACTTAGCACAGTCAACTCTTGTGTACAAGTATTGTGCAAATGATGAAAAACCAGGCCTTGGGTGGTGCAGTATCTTTCTTGCAGATAGCTTTTGCTTGTTGTATTAAATTACTGCCTGCCTTCTATTTAAAAACAACATTGAACAACCTTATAAATGGGGAAAGCATTAACAGTCCCGGGTCTGAAAAATGTATCCAGTTCAGGATACTGAAATGACTATAGTAACTAACATACTGTAGTCACACACACAGACAGAGGCAGCATTCAGCGTGGAAGGAGCAGAGATTTGTATCTTCAGAAGACTGATTGCAGAAGTCTCAAGGAAAAGAAAACAGGTGGAGAAATTGGCTGCTTCTGATGTTGATCTTATTAATTCAGTACTGAAAAATGCACTTGCTTTTTAAAAACCACAAACCCTCCAACCCTTCTCTGAGGAAAATAGGGACATCCTATTCCATACCCTCCAACATTCCTCAGAGGAAAATAGGGACATCCTACCATACTCTCCATCATTTCTCACATGAAAATAAGGAAGTTCTAAGGAGAAGAGGAACATTCTGAGATAAAATCAGAAACTGGGGTGGCTTCTGTAAATCCCGGACTGCCCCTGAAAGATAGGGGCACTTGGAGGGTCTGCATTAGCAGGGCAGAACATTTTTGAGAAATTGGTGACAGGATTTCAGAGCCGCTCTGGAGTCTATAGATACTGTTGCTGCATAAGAATATGCATAAGATTAACACAGAGCAAGTGAGATGAAATATTTTCTTTTCTTTTTTTACTGGTCAGGTATTGAAAATAAGCTTTGGAATTGAGGTTTCAAAGGGTAAAAAATAAAAAGTTGTACACAAGTTTTATCTAAAACTCTTTAGAATGAAGTAGCAGGAAAGTATTTTAACTGGATTTCCAACAGTTTGGGTAGAGACCTCAGAGACAGAGTGAAAGCATTATGCAAGTAAATATAAAAGAAACCAGACTGTAAGAGGCACAGTGTGGTTCACCGACCCAATTACAAAAGTGTAACTCAGGTAACTATATTATGGACAGATCCACAGTCTACATTTAAAGGACATCTAAGGCACATTTAAAGTATATGACTTCCCCCAAAGAATCATGGGAACTGTAACTTGTAAAGGGTGCTAGTAATAGTAGTTATGTGAGGGGAAAACTACAGTTCCCATTATTCTTTTGGGAGGTCATGTGCTTTAAATATGCTTTGGATGGCATTTAAATTTATGGTATAAATAGAATTAAAATAAATATTTTAATGACACTGCTTCATCACAATTAGTGACTGTCTTCATTGTGACTCTCTTGTATGTGCTAAATATAGTTACACAGAAGTGAATAAATATAGTCACACAAGCAGTATTCACATATTTTTGGTTCTTGTGTTTGTGGTGATATTTCTACAGGGTCTATGTCATCACATTCTTGCTATTCAAAATCAGTGTTGTATTTTTCTGACTCTGATTCAAAGCTCTTTCTTCAGTTAAGACTCTTATTTAAATTCAAAACCTTTCTGTTTAAATTTTGAATCAGCAGAGGAAGATCATGTGCAAATGATATAATTATCTTTTCTTATAAACGGGGGATTTTTTCAGTGAGATTAACATCTGTTCCATTCTAACATTTTTGGACACATCAACTAAGAAATGCAAAAGCCAATAAAAATAAGTAATTTGTTGTGCTCGAGGAGAAGAAAAAGCCCTGCATTTAATTCAATTACATCTATGATAAAACATTAATCATAGCTTTCCCTTCTCAATAGAAACTGATGACGGTGCACAATATTTTCAAACTGTAAAACGAGCATCAGAATATATAGATATTTTTAAAAAACAACAACTGGAAGAACTTCATTTTATTTTAAGATAACCAAAATTAAAAGTGCGGGAAAGTCTGTGTTTGGTAGTGCCAAAACCAGACATCACAGGAGCTCATTGTACTTCATTTAAGTAAAGAATAGAATTTCGGGAGGTTTTGGCAAGGCCGGATCAAAATGTTTGAGGGCATTGATGGAGTTCCAGATATAGTCTCCCCCTCCCAAAGGAACACATGAAATAAGGACCCATAAAATAAGTCTTGTGGTATCTTACACACTAGCCAGTTCGCTATAGCCTAAGTTTTCGCGGACTAAAAAAAGTACTCTGAGGATGTGGAGTTTCACAACTGTCAGCTAAATCCAAATAAATAACCATTTTGTCCATGCTGATAAACAAAAAGAAAATACTCCAAGCTTGCACGGTAATAATAATAATAATAATAATAATTTATTATTTATACCCCACCCATCTGGCTGGGTTTCCCCAGCCACTCTGGGTGGCTTCCACAAAGACCAAAAATACACTAAGATGTCACACATTAAAAACTTCCCTGAGCAGGGCTGCCTTAAGATGTCTTCTGAATGTCAGGTAGTTGTTTATCTCTTTGACATCTAATGGGAGGGCGTTCCACAGGGCAGGCGCCACTACCAAGAAGGCCCTCTGCCTGGTTCCCTGTAACCTCACTTCTCGCAGTGAGGGAACTGCCAGAAGGCCCTTGGTGCTGGATCTCAGCGTCCGGGCAGAATGATGGGGGTGGAGACACTCTTTCAGGTGTACTGGGCTGAGGCCGTTTGGGCAATTCCGCACACTTGCTGACTGGGAATGCAGGTAAAAGGTAAAGGTAAAGGAGCCCTGGACGGTTAAGTCTAGTCAAAGGCGACTATGGGGTTGTGGTGCTCATTTCACTTTCAGGCCAAGGGATCTGGTGTTTGTCCACGGACAGCTTACCAGGTCATGTGGCCAGCATGACTAAACCACTTCTGGCACAATGGAACACCATGACAGAAACTAGAGCACACAAAAATGCCGTTTGCCTTTCCGCTGCAGCAGTACCTATTTATCTACTCACACTGGTGTGCTTTCGAACTGCTAGGTTGGCAGAAGCTGGGACAGAGCAGCGGGAGCTCAGCATGTCGCGCAGATTCGAACCGCCAACCTTCTGATCAGCAAGCGCAAGAGGCTCAGTGGTTTAGACCACAGCGCCACCCATGTCCCTTGCGAAAGCAGACCAGGTGAGGGCTGGGGTGTGCTCTCAAGTGGGGAAGTAAGGCTGGGCCTGTATTTATAGTAAGGTGAGCCCTAGTACCCCCCACCCCCCGCCTAACTGTATTCACTCGGTCAGCAATCAAACAATATACCACACGACAATCCGCACAAACACCAGAAACCAGCAATAGCAATGGAGACATCAGTCTTTTTCTCCTCGGACAAGTTTTCATGTTCATTCATGAATCTGTTCCATTTCCAAATAAATTTCTGGGTTGCTGTTGTTGTTTTTAAAAAAGCTGTACCAAGATTATGCATTTAAATACATATTTTATCCTGACATCCATATGTCTAGATGTATTTTACCCTAAAGGACATATTGTTAATGCATTTGGTACATTAAAAAAGGGGGGGGGAGAATGGGGGAGCGGAAGAGTACTTATTCACCCTCATTTCCACCTTGACAGGATCTGTAGAGTGAATATTACAGGATGCACCATGGCGTCTTGCCTCGCCCCCCAACCTGGAGCCCTGTGGCTTGGCTACAAATGGAGACAATTTAATTCACAGCATCAGATTTGACTGTTATATCAGCATCAGACAGCTGAAGGTCCTTCCAATATTTCCCCAGATTTGTATTTGAAATTACTTGTAAATTTTCTAGTTTTGTCCGGGCAATTTCCTTCATAATCAGTGGATTATGGACTAAAAAGTTTACATGAGCATGACTAATGTGTGAAAACAAACATATGTCTATGCAATTATCAAATTGCATGGGTAATTAATTTTTTGTATTTGGGGAATCTTTGTTGTTTGCTGTGCTATTGTCACAGAAGCAAAAGCGATCTTTACAGTTGGAATGGCAACCTGGAAGGCGGGGGAGACAATCAAGTTAAAATTAGAAAACCCTCTGAAGCTGTACACCGAAGTTGTTTTCAATACTGTGAGGTTGAACACACCAAATGATTTTTAATTCACAGAGTCCCAAAGGTTCCACCTAGATGAACCAGCTCCAGCTGTGATGGCAGTTCATCAAGGATTGTGCAAGTTCATCTGAGGAATGGAGAAGACTGAGAATAGGCAGACTCCTGAAGCGTAGCTGAGGCTTCTCAGAGTCGGCTTGCTTTTAAAGCTGGTGCATACTGCAGCGTTATTAGGACACGAACTTGACTCTGGCAGCCATGCCTCCCAAAGGAAATGATGAGCGTCCATTTTCTCCTTTAATTTGTGCCATTTTTGTTTGAAGAGATGCTAATTTAAGCTTATCTATTTGCCTAGTGCTCAGGTCGGCTAATAATCCTAAATATGTGCTGTGAATCTGGTGCGCAATCCTTCTCGCTCTATGCACAGAGAAAGGTGTAGTCATTCCTCCACTGGAAGACAGTTTTGTTCACCCCTCTTCCACAATGCTGCGTATGTGTCGAGCCATCACTGCTTTCCATGGTGTAGCCAGGACATCACATCCCTCTAAGAAGAACTTTTGAGATCATGCCATGGGACCATCTATTCCAGCATCTGTTCTCACAGTGGCCAACCTATGAGAAGCCGCAAAGCAGCACCTGAGAGCAACTGCGTTCTGCACCCTTGTAATTCCCAGCAACTGGTATTCAGAGGTATACTGCCTTTGACAGTGGAGGTACTCGCACTCAGTGTTGAACCTTTCTATAGACCAGACGTTCCCAAACTTATTTGGTCTACCACCCCCTTTTCAGAAAAAATAACAATACAGTGGTACCTCGGGTTACGTATGCTTCAGGTTACATACGCTTCAGGCTACAGACTCCGCTAACCCAGAAATAGTACCTCAGGTTAAGAACTTTGCTTCAGGATGAGAACAGAAATCATGCTCTGGTGGCGCGGTGGCAGTGGGAGACCCCATTAGCTAAAGTGGTGCTTCAGGTTAAGAACAGTTTCAGGTTAAGAACGGACCTCCAGAACGAATTAAGTTCTTAACCCGAGGTACCACTGTACTGTATGTGTCCATATCTCTTATAAGGGGTTAGTTTAACCTCCAGTTTGCTGAATTACTGTGTTGCGAAATGATGCATGTCTACAATGTGTGTCACCAACATGAAAAGTTTGGAAAGCTCTGCCTGAGATTAATCCCCCTACATGAAGCCCATGCCAAGGATCGGGAAAGAGCCCTACACTTTGTATGTAGGAGCAGGTAATGAGAGGTTGCCATTTAGACTCTAAATCACTGAACTATAAGCAGCTGGTGCTGCATAACCATGATTATGATTTCAGATGGTTATACCATTTCTTCTACTTTTATTTAGCAGTTTTAAAGGCTAAGGCGATATTTTTATGGCAGAATATTTAGTGAGCATGTGGAAATAAAGAAAAAAAGCAGGAGAAAGAGTGCTGTAATTTCAATTGAGAATGATGGTTATGCCCCAGCAGCTGTTTATGGCTCCCATGATTGAGAGTCTAAATGACAAGGAATAATTACCTCCTTCCTCAACATGGTGAAAGTTTTCCTCTTCTGCACTATATAGTGACTACATTGGGGGGAGGAGAGGAGCTGTAAAGGTTTGGTCGAGGGACTTCCAGCTTCAATTTCTGTGTGTAATTTAAACATAGGGCCCATATTTTAAAAGGATGCTCCGCTTTGCTCAATGAAAGAAGTCAGATTGCATTTCTCTAGCGCATAGAAAAGTCAGCTCACTTTGTAAGCATACCTGGGAAGGAATATACGATTGTATCACTGCAGTAGACTGGTTTTAATTTCTCTTCCATAGCTCAAATCGCAGGTTGAACTCCAGAGCAAAACTTCCACAGCATACCATAATTTCCCAGAGAAGAACAGATGCATGAGGTGGTTTAAAAATGTTTTGCTAAATAAAAAATAAAAAAACGCTAGAAAATACCTCCAGGTTTAAATCTGTTAGACAGATGCACCTCAGGCGAAAGCTTTGTAAAAGCCTAGTTTCAACATTATTCTTCCCTCCCCACAAAAGTATGTGGGGAGAGTGGTGCATATATAGGCTTCTTCATGGATTGCCTCTGGTTACAAGGGTTGCCATGCATCTGGAATTTCCCAGACATACCCAGAATACTGTACCCGAAAGCAGTGTCCAGGCAGAAATCGTTTAAATGTATGGGGAAATCCGGACGCATTGCAACCAATGTCAGCAGTGTCAGTTTTGCCAATTTCCTTCAAAAAATTGCTTAAAATGCCCAATTTCTTTGTGATTTTTTTTTGGGGGGGGGGTTGTCAGGAATGAGCCATCTCCGAGGGAAGGCTCACAGCCAACTGCAGAAAGCAGCCAGGAACAGAGAGGCTTAGGTGTTAGTCAGGCAGGGGAGAGCTGGCAGCTGCAGACTTTGGCTCTTCCTGACCTTGAAGGGCAGACTGATAAGGCAGTAGTTGAGAGCAGGCTAGAACACAGCCAAAGCTCACCAGAAGCACAATCAGGTGCGAGCGGACTCAGAGACAGCCTCTCGGAACAGGAAGAGGTTGGAGCTGATCCACTAAGTCCGAAGAGTCAGTGAATGGGAGGGCTGCTAGATAGGAAGCAAATGAGAGATATAAGGGTCGTAAGTTCACTATCTTCTGTCAACGCCGGAAGGAGTCTTCAGAAGAGTCATCTTGAGTGATGATGCCAGAGGCTTTATTAGAGCCGTCTGGAGCTATCTGTTTGTTTTTGCAATAAATCCTCCTTTTTAATTATCTACGCCTACTGTGTTATCAAGCTGGGAACCTGGACTCCTGACAGGAAAGCTCAACAACTTTGCCCCCTCCCCCCAAAAAAACTCAACAACCCAGACCGTCCACTATAGGAATTGGAGTGATAAGTGATTAGAGCACAAACTGGGCTGGAGAAATTCTGTCACTCATTAGGGGCCTGTTGGGTCATGTAGGTTGGGTACCACTGATCTCCTGCTTCCAAACACAGTGTGTTGCTGGCATGTACCAGAGGGAGAGGGGCAAGGCATGGGGTTCTTGGTGCTGTGCAGGCACTCAATGGCAAGAGGGTTGGTTTGGCTGCACTGAGCCTCAACTCACAGTGCCTCACTTCCCATGCCTTGCCCCTCCTCCTCCTCTAGGAAGCACCAGCAATGCACTCTGTTTGGAAGCTGGGCCAACAGCAGTGCCCTACAAATGCCACCAAAAAGGCCATTACTGTTATCACTGTCAAACTGGATGCTACTTCTATCTCGCAACCACCTTGGGTCCCATCTCATGGATCAACAGTTGCCATTCTATGCACACTTACTTGGGAGTAAGTCTAACTGAACTCGGTCGTACTTGCTTCTGAGTAAACAAGCACAGAATTGTGCTGTACGCCATTTTGTGATACCCTGTGATGCATGATCTCCCACATTAATTGTCAGATTGTCTCATCAAATGTGTTCTCCCAGCCAATTATTTTCAGCCAAGGGATAACAAAAGCACTGTATTTTTTTTGCCGTGTTTTTCCTCATCTAATTCTACTCATTCTCCCCCAATGCACTTTCATTATACTTTTGGAACTGAATCTAAAATTATAATTTGGGGAGTGGGAGGGAGAGGCAGATCAGTTTGATTACTTTTACAAGACCCCATTTCCTGCAGTGCTTGCTTGATGGCTTCTTATCATGCAAATAGAAAAGGACAATGCAAACTTCAAAGAAATGTCTGATGGGGAAAACATATTTAATAAATTTATCTCAATAGGAGTTTCCTCCCTTTTGCTGGATTGTTTGATATCATGCAGATTTTCTCAGTGAACTATAGATGTGCAAGGCACAAAGAAATCCCACCCCCCCTCCAGAAAAAAAAACCCAACCTGCCCGCAAGGAATAATGGAATATTGTAAATAGGTCAGGATAAACTAAGTTCTTTGTGGAAATAAAGGTGAAGAAATGAGAGCAGTCACAGTCTCATATTTGAGCCTGAAATGGTGGCGCTTGAAGTAGCAGGTGACAGGAAAGGATAAATCCGTTCCTTAAATGTGTGCTGGGAACAAAAGCCTGGTATTTAAAATATAATATGCAAAGGAAAAATGGCAGAGCATTCACCACTCCACACCGAACCAAACGGGCTGATGTTTGTGACAGCACCGCATGCACCAGCCATGTTGTCAAAGCTAAAAACCAGGAGTGCATATATTACGCATAGAAGGTTACACTGTGTGTTAGGATGCTTCTAATAAGCTTTTCATCCTCACCACTCACCATTTATTATTATTATTTTAAAATCAAAATTACAGAATGGTACCAAGGGTTAGTTAAGAAGCAACTGAAAATGAGCTATGAAATGAACAGTAGAATCTGAAATCTAACATAAAAAAATGAGCAAGCTTCTTTTGAGAACTGTCTGGATGAATATTTAAGAAGCTGTGGAGCTTCTTAAAGAAAAACTAGATGTTTTTCAAAAAACCCAAAAACACATCATTACTGGGCACAGACACACAATGACCGCTCCCCGCATAAAACGGGGGGCGACCTTTGCGTGGATGCACGCAGCCCCTGGATCTGGAGCGGCTCCAACAGCATAGGCTTGGTTTGCCTTCCCTCAGGTGGGATACCTGGAGGTCTCTGTCTACCCCAGTCAATTGTCCAATCCCACCTGGGGGAAGCATTGCCAAGGAGATCAGGCCAGGTGGGGGAGGGATTACCTGCCCACACAATAGAGGGAGGATCTTACCTGGGAATCCTCACTTGGCTCCAGAGCTTCTCCCACCCTACCCACCCTCAGTTAATGCCTTATTTTGCAGGTTAACTTTTCTTCACAGGTTTTGCAGGTTAACTTTTCTTACAGGTATGCGGGCGCTGCTACGTTAAGGTCACTGTCAAAGGGCCGGAAAGGAATTTCCCTGCATTGGCAGGTTTCACCTTTCCCGCAGCAAAACGTCACAACTTTGGCGGTATCAGGCCTTGGGCGGAATCCTTTTGTCCATCTTCCTCTTGCAGCTGCTATACCAGGGTTCCCCATTAAAGGGGTTTCTGAAGGGAGGCTTTGACCGTACGCTGAAAGGTCGTCATTGCTCTCCCCTGCGGCGGCGGCATAACGGGGGCGGCTATCTCTGCTTGAACATATGTTCTCCAGAGCCGGCCCATCCCCCACACAAACACTGGATAACCCTGATGCTCCCTAGGTCCCCGGCTGGGGACTGGGGAGGGATAACGCCCAATGCCTGAGCCAAGGTCTGCCCACATTTGAAATTTAATAAAGTTGTGGCCAATTTAATCCCATAGCACGTTGTCTTGAGTCGTTATTCGACATGACGGGGGGGCGCTCAGGACCTGGGGACTCCACCTGTCCACGCAAAAATACCTTTATTGGAAGAAAGCTTTACATGGTAAATTCTCTAAGGCAGTTTGTGGACAACAGAATATTACCATTACAACAGTTTGCATAAGACTGTCCAAGATGGAAGAGAACACCCATTTTATTCAAATTAAGGTACAATGGTATACTGGAAATAATACTGAATGGCTATTGTGATGGTTTCTATTACTCTGTTATTTCGGTCAATGGATCCATGAGCTATTTTGCAGAATAAATGGATCTGCAGCTGTGGCCGAATAATAAATTTTAAATGTAATCTGTTTTTTAAAACAAACAAACAAACAACCCCTAAATGACATTGTGTGTGGATATATATAACCCAATGTTATATTTCATATGTGTTTATTTTTCAGAAAATAGTTTTATTTTCCCCTCAATTTTTGATTTTTGATTTTCATTTGTTTTTCAAAATATAATACAGTTATCCCAAAAATAAAAAATGAAGCTATATTTGTAATCGATCATTATGAAGAAACACTAACTTTCAGAGTGAAGCATAGATCAGGTAAGTTCAGATACAATTCAGAAAAGAGTTTTCTGACAATTTTTTTGAACATTTTGCTTTTCAAGATCCTCCAGAACCATTGGAGAATTTCAGTCCTCCCCTGAAGAATATTTGTTCAAATGGTCTCTCCAGTTTTGCCATGCATTTATTTTGGCAGCAATTGTAGCTCCAGTATTAACATTGTTTAATATTACTTAAATGTAGTTGAAGGAAGCAACAGGTTTCTCCACTAATCCTGCCATCTCTAATTGTAGAGTTTCATTTATCATTAAAGCAAGTCAAAATCTCTTAACAGGATTTTCTGAGGGGAAACTGGTGGAGAATTTCACCTCCCCTTCCTGAGAATATTCAACAAAACGCCCAACTCCCATTTCACCATTCAGAAACAACATGGATAATTTCCAGACACCATTTTTGATCAGGTGTTATATTACGAACCTCTCAAAATGGCCTCCAAACTGCTTTGTGGGTGTTGAAATGGCACAGTGCGGTTGGGAAAGGGCATAAGTGGTTTGTTAAATGTTCTTGAGGAGAGGAAAAAATCTGCAATGAAATATTATAGTGTGCAGTGCTCCTGTTCAGGATTCTATCCAGCCATGCCTTGTTCCAGATACTTAATTCCTTTTCCCTTCCCTCCTGGTTTTCAATCCCCCCCACCCTTCCAACTTTCTGATGACTGTCTGCATTATTCCCAATCCTCATTGGATTAACTCTGGTATCCTCTGATCTTGTGAAACTTCACAATTTGGGGTAGCATTAGCAAACATCATTCCAAAGCCATTAAAAAAAAGCAAACTTGATACATAGCCCATGGGACAATGCAGTATAGCTGGTTACTAACACCTTAAGTTTTTAACAAATTATTCTCTGGATGTATTTGTTGAAATTCAAGCCTCTCTCGGGAGAAGCTGGCAATCCTCCCAGGCACCCGGCTTGAGTTCCGATGACCTCCCTGGCTGCATTCCCCAGCAACTCAGGCTAGGTCTCAATAGGCGACCCTTCCCAGTGTGGGAAGGGCACACCCACTCTTTCCTGCTCCCCCAGCAGGGGAAAAAGATAGTCAGAAACGTTTTTACATGGCTTTTATTTCTGACTCTTCAGCATCACATAAAACGTGTCTGCTCACTTCAGACTCCAGCAAACAAGTGACAAAGACTTCCTGTACTTCCTGTACAAACGCAAGAGGAAGGTCTCAAATTACACTCTGAGCAAATTCCGGTGCTTTGCCCTGTGAACTGACTGTCCCACTGTTTCCCACGGACAGTCCCAACATTCCCATCATGTGATGTTTTCAAGCTAGCAGTTTGCAGCTGCACTGCATCCATATCGTAACAGTATTATGTTGCTAGCCTTTAAAATGTTGTACGGAACCCTTGATACTACAGTATAAGGTTAAACAAGGTGTTTGACACCAAACTAAGGAGAGGAGTGGCCTAAGTAGCCATTTCACCATTTCTCCAAGGAGCTCAAGCAGGCATTCATTATTATTATTATTATTATTATTATTATTATTAGTTATATATTGCCCTATACCCAGAGGTATCAGTCATGGGTCTCCTTTCCTCCATGTTTTCCTTGCAACAGCCCTGTGAGGTAGGTTAGACTGTGAGACAGTGGGCAGGATTCAGCTAAGAAGTTCCATGGCTCAAAGTGCAAGGACTTCCACTTGTGCAATAGGGCTTTCCTCCCTCTTGCACCAACCCCCTCAATTGGCTCTGGGGTGGTTAGGAGAAGCCCAAGAAGAGCAGCGGAGAGGAGGGGGGGTAATTCCATCTAGTGAGCTACAATGCTTGCACAGATGGAACATTTGTCACAGTAAAACACTAAATTCCACCATATTTTGGCATTAAAAATAACTTCCAACGTTTTGACTGACATCAAAGCTTACCACTTTCTGCTATTTGCATTCCCCAATCACCACTTTGCAAGATCCTCTTGAACTAGGGTTTTTTTGGGCGGGGGGGAGTTCAAAACGAGTGATTTCTGGGTACCATTAGCAAAAGCCTTTTCTCTTTGAGCTTTGGAAACAAGCTAAAAAAAGGAAAAGGACCCCTGACAATTAAGTCCAGTCGCGAACAACTTTGGGTTTGCGGCGCTCATCTCGCTTTACTGGCCAAGGGATCCGACGTTTAAACATAGACAGTTCTTCCGGGTCATGTGGCCAGCATGACTAAGCTGCTTCTGGCAAAACCAGAGCAGTGCACGGAAACGCCATTTCTCAAATGCAATTGTAAAAGAAAAGAAATTTAATTTTGAATTATAAATTGTATACATTTTAATGCCTGTTTTTGATTTTTCTTTTTTTAAAATGAGTTTTAGATGATAGTTGTGATTTGTCAGGGGATCATCTCATGCTTTCAACCTTTTGTTAATGCTCTGATTGCACAACCAAGGCCATTTTTATTCTCAGGCCCCAAACAGACAATGGCAGTTAGCTTGAAACATTTAGTCACATCATGTTTTTCTTTCACAGATGGGAACATTATATTGTCTTTTTGTGTGTGCATTTCTACAAGACCTTCTCATTTCAATGTCTCACTTTTGATGTTTTCCATCTAGATTACAGTTGCACTTGATAATTGTAATCATACAGATTTTGCCAATCTTCACAATGGAGACTTGCGGCCATGCACATAATCTAAAATGCTAAATAATACACAGCAATGAAAAATAGGGGAGGAAGTGAGTGACAGAAAGCACTTTATTAACACCATTAAAGAAATGTTAAGAACACTAACCCTGATTCATAGATTTCTTGCCACCAGGGAGGAAGACACTTTTCAGGTGCTGTCATTAATACTAGTACCCAAATACAAGCCCCTGAATAAAGAGATTTACCATTCAGTCCTTTCTTTCCCCCAAAGTCTAGGGAGAAAAGCAATGACAAACCTAGACAGCATCTTAAAAAGCAGAGACATCACCTTGCCAACAAAGGTCCGTATAGTTAAAGCTATGGTTTTCCCTGTAGTGATGTATGGAAGTGAGAGCTGGACCATAAAGAAGGCTGATCGCCGAAGAATTGATGCTTTTGAATTATGGTGTTGGAGGAGACTCTTGAGAGTCCCATGGACTGCAAGAAGAACAAACCTCTCCATTCTTAAGGAAATGAGCCCTGAGTGCTCACTGGAAGGACAGATCCTGAAGCTGAGGCTCCAGTACTTTGGCCACCTCATGAGAAGAGAAGACTCCCTGGAAAAGACCCTGATGTTGGGAAAGATGGAGGGCACAAGGAGAAGGGGACGACAGAGGACGAGATAGTTGGATAGTGTTCTTGAAGCTACCAGCATGAGTTTGACCAAACTGCGGGAGGCAGTGGAAGACAGGAGTGCCTGGCGTGCTCTGGTCCATGGGGTCACGAAGAGTCGGACACGACTGAACGACTAAACAACAACATTCAATGTTCTTTCACATTTCTGTGAATGTTGCAGTGCAGCTCTTTGCAGTTTATTAAAATGTGTTTTAAGACACATGCCTTGAAAGAAAGCTACATTTTAAAATAGGTATTTTAATGGGTATTGTGTGTATATCTATCTATCTATCTATCTATCTATCTATCATCTATCTATCTATCATCTATATCTATCTATCACAGATTTCTGTGGAAACAGGTTCAGATGGACTGTGGGTGAACACTTGCAAAAGCAGGATAACCAGGAAAGTGGAAACCAACATTTCCTCCTTCCCAAAAAGAAACAATCACCTGGCCAGGAGCAGGAAGTGTTGTTAATAATTCATGTGGGTATCCCATAACATCTACAGTGGTGAATTAGACACAGTAAATCAGGCTTTGTCACTGTAATGTCAGAAGGCAATCTCGGAAGGATCTTTTCCTTGTTTGTTTGCATGTCCTTAACTTGTTCTTTATTTGCTTAACTTGTAATGCACTTAAAGATCAGTTCTGGCTCACTGTGGAAGGCTGGAATGGAAAGCAAGGACAACCAGGGAGCACATTGATTTGAAACAATCCTTTCCCAGCGGTCTTGCCTAATAAATTAGAAATCTAATTGAATGAAAGCTCTAGGGGAAATGCTGAAAATCCGTCGAGCGATAATGCCTCAAAAGATCTGCCATCTCTATGTACCGATGGTCATCATTTTCCACACAAAAGTTTAAGAATATTCTCCCCGGCGCATCATCCCCAGTACATATCTGGTCCAATATAGTTTGCCACCACACATTTCGTACTTACCTCTCTTGCCAAGGTATAAACGTATCTGAAGGTGCTGCAATTCAGGTCAGGAAATTACATGGAAATAATGTTCAGAACAGGAATAGAAATTGTTTAGTTCGCTGAGACACCC